ATTTAGAAAGTAGATTTTCTTTTATCTTTTTCCATATTCTTTTATCTCTTTGAACAATAGAGAACTGGTTAATTTTACTTTTTATTCATAATCAATTTTAGCTCCTGCTACTTTGATAGCTATCATTCCTACTAGAAATGAGAAAATTAAGCCACAAATCTTCATAGATGCCTCATAATCATAATATGAGGCAATCATATTAATTCTACAATAATATTACACTTTCTCTAGATTCACTTTGAAATGAATTCTAACACTAAAATGAATTCTAACATTGTGGTTCCAATTTTAATCACTTTAGTGATTCTGATTTGTTCTTCAAATCTATTTATTCATATAACAATGTGACTTGTATCCAAAAAGTAAGCAAGTTTTGAAAAACCGCACGATGTTGGTTTTTACCGCATTAGTAGCCATCTCGCTTGTCGCTATAAAGACACGATGTTGATTCTGTGGCGAGGACATGAGCCCACCCCGCTTTGCCGAGGGACTAGTCTTTCCCGACCGGCCTAACACCACCTTCCCTCGGTCTCTTTTGCAGCCCCCTGCTTTGTTCCGTTATATCACTTGTCAGCATTTGAAATTTATACAGTTGATAGTTTTAGTTCTTTATTGTCTGTCTCTCTCACCAGACTTGATTAGGGAGGGTCTCTCTTTTTCTACATGTCTCTCTTACGTATAAAACGTATGAAGCTCTCTCCCTGCCCACTCTCTGTGCCTGGCATATGGTAGGCACGCTCACAAGCTAGTTGTCTTAAAAAGATACACCACCGTGATTCACCATTATCTGACCTCCTTTCTCATCGACCAGACCAGGGGTTGCACACATTTTTGGTACAGGGTCAACGAGTCAATATTTTAGGCTTTACCACCTCTGTTGCCTATTCTTTCTCCTCCCACTTCCAATAACTCTTTAAAAACACAAAAACCACTTTTAGCTTAGGGCCGTATGAAAACAGGCTGAGGGTGGGATTTGGCCTGCAGGGTAGCATTTGCCAACTCTTATGCCAGGCTCTAAGTGTCTTCAGAGCAAGCCTGAGTTATGGACCCATTTCTGTCCCCTGGGACCTATCATAATCCTAAGCACATACAGGTTCTCAATAAACCCAGAACTCAGTTGCATTGGGTTAAAGTGATTAGGTCAGGGGCAGAGAAGATAAAAAATTAAATGGAACAGCCCAAATGGTCAGATTTAGAGCAACAGATATTTTGCCACGGAGACCTGGCTTGCGGTCCAGGCCGGATGACTCAAAGGGTCGCTTACCAAGGATTTACGGCTAATGAGAAAAGACAGCTTCTCATACGATCACACGCTCCCTCGCTTGCCTTGGGAGTCACAGACCTCAATACCCTCCACTTCCGAGCAGCGATCCTAGTACCGTGGGCCGGTGCCTCCTCTCATATCTACTTAGAGTGCCACTGCCTGGGACCATGAAGAAGAGCTGATGTTTTTCCCAGTGGTTGCTTTTATTCTGTGTTACCGTGCTTTGCTGTCTGGTTCTCTTGTCACCCAGCATTCTCAGAAGGTGCTGGCTTAAAGGTGACATGTCCCTCCAGAGCTCGGCAAACACGGAATTACCTCCATAACCACTACAGATAATTCTCACATGTTGGCCGGGAAACCTTCCTGAACACAGTTTTTGGATGGGAGCACTCCCTGATTCTTGCATGGTTCCAAGTCTTGCAGTATGTTGATAATGGATGAAGGAAGGAAAGAAAGAAGGAAGAAGCGGACAAAAACTCTCCACAGCCATGATCATGGCCCCGTCCCCACTCCTGAAACCGTCAGAATGCTGGGAGGTTGCAGAGGCTCCTGAGAGAACCCAGAATATGTACAATGTTTTCCCCGAGGACATTCTTGCTTCCGCACACTCTAGCAAAGTGTGAGGTCAGAGCCGCCTGCCTCGAGAGAGAAGCGCCTCTTTCCTCTGGCATCCAAAATGCTCAGAATTATTACCAGCACCTGCCCTAGTGACCGAGTTCTTCCCGGGCCTGGGAAAGGGGGAGAAAGGAAGGAGAGCAGGGACGTCATCCGGTGTCCTGCCAGGTGCTCACCCTCCATGGAGCAGCAGGGCCAGCCATGGAAGACTGGCTCCATCCCTAGGCACTTCCTTCCTTGTTCATGTTCTTGAGATCTCTGAATAATTCACTGCAATGTTCTTTCAGTAAGTCTCTGCCACCCCGTATTCGCTTCCCTGTCTTCACGGAAAGAAACAAGGGAACAAGTGGCCCCTTGGGTGCTGTAACCAAGCAGGCAGACACTGAAAAAAGGTGAGTGTCAGATGCTTAACTGCGTGACAGAACAAAACACATTGTCCAACCAAGCTTCACTTTGATGCAGCAAGTCCTATGTTTGTTTTAGACACAAGAAAGAAGCAGAAGGGTGAGAATAATATATGTAAAGGCAGGCTGCATGTTGATGATGGAGCAGGAAACAGCATCTAGCCCCATGATTCACAGACGAGGTCATATCCGCCAAGGAGCCACGAGTGCAGGCAGTAATGCTAAGAGACAAGGGGCAAGCAGCCTGGGGAGGAAGGGAGTAACGGCCTGAGGAAAACACTCCGGAAAAAGAAAACTGAACGAATCCCAAAGCCCTAGTAGCTGTTGTAAAGAGTGCCTGTGGGTTCTACATTTCTGAAGAAGAGAACCACAACTAAGTGGAAATGTGACTCTGGGACTTCACGTTGCACATCTGACCGGGAAAAGCGAAGACAGGAAGGTGGAGAAGGAGCTGTAAGAAACACCGGACCCGCTGTACCAGGGGAAATACTCTTTGGGGAACAGACCTTCCAAAGGAACAGGAACCGCTCTAACACCACGTGTACAGAGGAGGGAGGGTAGGAGCTGGCAGGTGAGTTCTCCCTCAGCCCCGTGCAGCCCTCCTGCTCGCTGCCACCAGAAGAGTCATTGTTGAGTCGCATGAGGAAGACACAGGTGAGAATGAACAATGGCAAGAGTATCTTTTGTCCTTTCATATCTGATAGGATCTGACATCAAGATTTTGGGAAGTAGAATCATGGCTGGAAAACCGAAATAAGTTTCATTTAAAGAGCTGAGATTTCATGCCACTGCGGTTGAGCGTTCGTCTAATTTCACGTTTGCAATTATCCTCCTGTGTGTCCCTCCTTCTGTGTCCTTCTCTCACAGCCACTCTGGGTGGCTTTTGACTGTCAGCACCACCATTCGAGGCAGGGTACAGGCCCCTCTTGCTGGTCTGGGCTAGGGGAACTGCGCCAACCAAATCACCCAGGCACCTGTCCAGGGTCATGAGAGACGAACCAAGAATGTAATCAGGATCTGGGGTCGGGTTACCAGGCTAGAAGCAGACTCGCTGGGATCAAGATGGTGTGCAAAGTGAATGTGGCAAATAGGAAATGGGATCTCACAAGGGAATTAGGACTCAGAATGAAAAAAACAAAACGGCAACACATAAGGTGAGACTCAAAAGTGGTGGCTGGAAGAACCAGGAGGGCCACGTAAGATGACCAGCAGAGAGGAGATTGCCAGGAGGCCTTGACTGTGAGGCTTCCTCTTCCACCTGGCCCTGTATTACGGGCTAAGCTCCATATGCGAATGTCTCCACAGGACTTAACAACCAGATCCCCAGGGTACATGTGAGGAAACGAAAGCAGAGGGAGGCTCGTCCCAGTGATCTGAACATCATGTAACTAGTTGGAGGAACACCCAAGATTAAAATCTCTTTTTATCTGTGCATAGAATGAATACACTGCGATATGCTTGCATTCCTCAGGTGCATTTAAAGAGATGATCCCAATGCAGGACTAGCTATAGAGTAGAAGCCCAATGTGAAGCACTTCATGACGAGGTGTTTATCATTGGGAAACGCCTCAAAATCAGAGCCAAGGCTCAGTTATCTCTATGCAGATTATACCATGGTATTCGAGGCTTTCTGTCTCTGTCTCTTACTGTCTGTTGGTGTGAAATGGGGTAAGACAAAGGAATTTAAAAACTATTTTTTTAGTCTAAGCAAATCGCAACCAAGAATGTCCGTCTGCTGGGGAAACAAAAATCCCCAAGTCAATGGCTTTATACTGTCTGATGGCCTGGTTAAATAGGGCCAAGGCTCCTCTTCCTGGAATAGTTTATTAAGGTCTAGGGTAGTTTTATCCACTGAATGAAGTCAAGCCAAGCCCGCTGCTTTTCTGTAATTTGATTTGTGAGAGCTGGAACTACGTGTCTTCGGCTTAAAGACTGGGCATTTTGCAGAGCAAACCTGGCACCATGGGTTAATAATTTTTATATAACCAAAAATAAATGAGAGAGACTTCAAATTATCCATCAGGAGAAAGGTGGACCAAAGTTTACTGACTCGCTGATTAATGTAACACAATAAGCATTTAAATATGCCTATCTGTGGAATAAAAATGAAAAGTGACACCGGGGATACATTCCAACTTGTCTCACCTTTTACATATCTATTATGTGTTATCAAAGATGTAGTCTTTTCCCTTAACAAGGATGATAACCACATGACCAAAACAAGTATGTTTTGAATAATCCTGAAAGTTTTGGAACCTCATGCTGGAAAGATGCTTTGAAATAGGAATCTGGAACCCTGAGTTCTTAAACCCCGGGTTTCTCAAACTCAGCACTATTGACAGTTTATACCCAAATGATTTTGTTGTTGTTGGAGTGCTGTTCTGTGCATTGTAGGATGTTTAGGCAACCTCCCAGCTCTCTACCCACGAAATGCCAGTAGCAACAACCACCATCCCCACTCCCCTCCTGCTCAATCGTGACAATCAAAAATGTCTACGGACACCGCCAAACATCTGCCGAGGGGCAAATTATACGTGGCTGAGAACCACTGGTCTAGAGATATTTTCTCTTTAAGACCACGCGGTAAATATACTAAAGTAAAAGGGATCACAGCAGGGCACTAAAGGTTTTCACAGCCATTATTACATACGGTTTAGTACCTGGATGTACATGCAAATGAATGTAGGCTGACGTGCTCATAGCAAAAGTATACTCACTGTGTACAAGAAAACAGAAATCTTTCCACATCAGCAGCAGAGTGAGTTTTGTAAAGCCTTCTGCGTCATATTCCACGACACCTCTGGGTGATAAGAACACACACACAAAGAAGAAACCCTCATAAAAACAAGGCAGAAAAGAGATGTAAAGAATAGATTCCTAGAGTCACGGTGACTGAATCCAAGAGGCATTTAAGGTGAGTGTTACCACAGAAAGGACGTGGGATTTGGAATGGCAGCATCTACATTTATGTTACAGCTTTGCCATTTACTACCTATCACGACTCCAGGCAAATCACTTAACCTTTGGAGCCTCAATTTCCTCATCTGTAAGACAAATAGAACAATATTTTCGAGCTTCGTTACAGGGTCGTGAAAAACAAGTAAGATAGACCATACAATGCTATGCAAATGCTGGTTATGAGTAAAAGGACAAATTAAGCAATCAGGTCAACAGGGACACTGCTGTCTGGATGGTGATTAAGACCCACTTTCACTCGGGCACTAAAAAGCAATGAGCAGTGACAACGTTACTAAGTCTGGGAGTCTATGTTAGTTTCTTCCAAAGTACTTGGAACCCTTTCACTTGTGTCCCCTGTCCTCCCCACCGGGCTCAAGACAAAGTAGCCACGTTAGCTGGGTGGACACTGGTTCAGGTGGGAGATGCACAGGACGGGTGTCAAGGAGAACAGCCCCCGACTGCTAAGGGCCTGGCCAGAATCCTGATAGGCTAGCCTCCCGCGTTCCCCTCAAGAGCTGAGTGCTTGGGAGACGCGACCATAAGGTGACAATACTAACCACACAGAGGACAGGCATAATCTTCTCTGTGGTGTGTGCTATCTCCCTGGCTGAGTCAGGCCAATCAGACTGTCGATACCAATGGCCTGCCAGTTTCAGTAGGAAGGGTGAACTCATCATAAGGGCAAAGGGAATTAGGACACTAAAGACTGAGTGATTTGCTCAAAGACTGTTGGCACATCATTCAGATGACTTAGGTCAATAATTTTAGTCACCAGTTTATATTTCTTTTCGTGAATTTATAATCAACTCAACATGTTAAACACCGCTATCTAAGCTTTTTAGATCCGCCATGCTGTACGTAAAAACAAGCACAGAATCCTTTCCATTATGCATACAGTACAGTAATAGAATAGTATTTGCACAGGATTTAGTAGTTGTATACAAGTACTACTATATTACTGTATTATATGCATAATAAAACATACACAAAATGTAGATTAAAAAAGAGATTTTCAAAAAAGATGTAAATGCGAATTTTCCGATTTTTCTTGGGTGCGAATGGTTATGAGTGAGGTGGGGTATGTGCCCCCTACTTGGGAGGTTACTGTGTTAGCTCCTTCATTTTTCATTCTATATTCTTAAGGTAATTTCCTCAAAAATTAGTAGAAGTCCAAAGGTGCCATTGACTAACCACTGTTTGTATAATAAGAACTTTTTCAAAATGTTCATAAGTAAAGCTGAAAAAAAATCGTTGAGTATTAAAGGCTTATGTGAGAGACAGTCACACTGTTTAGATATTGACAGTTCTATTTTGGAGGCATAAAAAATTCCACTATGTATAACGAGAAGATTTCTTAAAATTGTTTTGAGGAGTCAGAAATTTTGCCCATAATTATGCTACAGTTTATAAAATTATATGCCTGGGAACGGCCAACCTTATTCTTTGTTTTGCCCGCTCCTGCCTAGTCCCAATTTTTGTGGTCCCAATTTCTTCACTTCCTTGTTTAAAATCTTAACTTTGTGGGACTATATATATCTTTCTATCTTTATAAACCTTCTCTGGAACAAGGTGGGCTATAAGCAGATCGCTAACACCCTTAGTGCTCAGCCCCCCTGAATGGGTAGAGCGTTCCATCTTTTGAAGAAGACTGTGGGGGGAAACACGGTCCCTCTGCCCTTGAGCTAAGCCCTGAGCAGAAGCTCAACCAGGCCTCAGACGCCATTTAGGAAAACAGAGCTGCGGAACATCAGGCCACCGGCAACCTGAAGGAGGGGGCCAGCCACAGGGGCGGCAGCAGGAGGAGACGCACTCCCCAGCCCCACGCCTGCTTTCCCCTCTCTGTGCCTTCTTCCAACCCCTAATCCCGAGTGTGAGTCGCTGCTTTTGCATTGTCTAACGCCGGCTTTCCTCCCTGAGAAAAGCCTGCCCGAGTCCCGAGAACCAGGGTTCCCGCCCTGGCCCTGTCTCTTCCGGGCAGGTCACAAGACTTCTCACAGGTCCAGGGCTTTCTTCAGTCAAACGTGCCAATAATGCCCACGTGGCTCCCTCCCTCCCAACTCCAGGGAGCAGCCGGAGGTGTGTGCTGCGCACACTGCAGAGAGCTCAAGAACAAGCAGGCCTCGCTGCCTTCGTTACTGCTGGGCTTGGGGTTGGTCGTGAGGCTGATCCAAATTCTGCTCCACAATCGATAACGCGATTCTGATACGTAGCAAAATCCTAAAAAATGTCTTCCTGGGAGCTTTAGCTTAAGCAACATACCAAACAGAATCAAAGTGGCACTGAGAAGCTATTCCGTACAAGAGCAAGCTCCTATTTTCTCAATCAAGCTCTCGCGTTAGGGCCATCAGGACGGGAGGACATTGCTGGTACATGGTTTAAGCACAGAGGAACTTACGTGCCGAAGTGACTGAGGAAGGCAGCAATATACTCCCTTCTTTTGTGGTAGCCTTGAATCACATACTGCACCTGAAACAGGAACCCAAAGCTGAGGAATAGGGAGTTTTCAAATGCTATTTTACAAAGCATTTCGAAGATTCAGGGAGTAGAAAGAATGGTTAAATGAATGCCCATATTCCTGCCACCTGTATTCAACAACTATGGGTATTTTGTCTGGTTGCTTCATCCAGCCATCTACCTCCCTAACAAGCTATCAGTCCATCTTGCTGAAACATTTCAAAGGAACTTAGAGACACCATGGAAGTTTCTCCCTAGATACTTGGGCATGTACCTCCAAAAAATAAGGTATTTTCCTACATAGCCACAATGTTATGATCGTACCCAACAAATTATCAGCCATTTTCTGACTTCATCTAGTGCCCCGGGCGTTTTCAAAATATCCCAATTGTCCCCAAAATGTTCTTTTAAAAGACAGGGCATACTCAAGGATCAGGCATTTAACCTAGAAAGTCTATTAATGTAGATTAATAGGACCGTGTGTGCATGTGTCCATGCCTGCATGCACATATATGATTCTGACTTTTCAAAGAGATTGGGCTAGTTGTCTTATAGAATGTTCTGCATTCTAGACTCTCTGATTGTTTCCTTACTCCCTGTATTTGTCCTCTACTCCCTGTATTTCCTATTAATTGGAAGTTAGACTAAAGGTGTGACTAGATTGGGGGTGCCTGGGTGGCTCAGCTGGCTAAGCGTCCAACTCTTGATTTTGGCTCAGGTCATGATCTCAGGGTCATGAGATTGAGCCCCGTGTAGGGCTCTGCACTGACAGCATGAGGTCTGCTTGGGATTCTCTTGCTCCCTCTCTCTCTGCCCCTTCCCTAATCACGTGTGCCTGTGCATTCTCTCTCTCCCTCCCTCCCTCTCTCTCTCAAAATAAATAAACTTAAAAAATAATGTGTCTAGACTAGATTCAGATTAAATATTTTTGGCAAAACAACTCCATAAGTGATGGTGGGCTTGATCACTGATTTAGGTGATGACAGCAGGATGACAGCAGGACTAATGCATCGTAAAGGGAGGTTCCCCCTTTGCTGCCGCTGGCAGTGACCCCTGGGTATGCCTCTCGAGGCATGAGAAGACCTAGTCCCCTCTCGATCTTTTACCTCACGGTTTCGATACCTGTTGGAGATCCTTGTCTGAATCAGATTTTTCATTAGGAGCCGAAAAGTGGTGATTTTTAAAAATTCTAACCCTCCTTGTGTACTTACCATCTGGAATTCTCTGTAAAGAAGAGTTTCCTCACATCTAATGGGGGCTATTTTATCCTGAATTACGACTCCTATTGAAAAGGCAGGATAATGCTTAATTCTTTCTTTTCAAATTCCTAGTATTCAGAAGAAGGAGTGTTACAATAGATTTTATTTTGCCTTTTCAGATTTCCTTATTATCACCAAATGACCGTTTTTATTTTTAAAAAAATTGTGAACCTATTAAGCTGGGCATCTGAAAGTTAGTCATTTACCCATCAGCTACTAACACAAAAATTCATTCCTTATAATGTCCTCACAGCGGCTCAAAGAAATGGGGCGGGGCGGGGGGAAGCGGCCCCCCAAATTGTTTTTATTGGCTATAGCCACAATGAGTTTCCATGGCTAACAAAAGCTCGAGATAAAGTGCTTGAAATAACCTTGACACAATTGGTAGTGATAGCCATTTTGTACCCTTTAAAAGTAAAACAATTCTATTTATATAATAGGGGTTTATGTCAATTTATAAAAACAGTGCTTACTTTGCAGGCTTAATGCAGGATCAGAAATGTTATTTTGGGAAAAGAAAAACAGATGATAAGTTTGCTTAAGTGGCTTTGTTTAAAAAGGGGATGAAAACAGTTCTGTGTACTTGATTTTAAAAACAGAAAACCATTTTAACAGAAACCCACAACAAAACTGGCTATAAAGATAGATTCCCATGTAATTATGGAAATTCATTTGAAGAGATTGTTTCTAAAAGCAGCCCATACTGTCCTCGTTTGTAGCAAGCATAAGAACATCAATTTTAAAAGACAAGTAAAATTAATGAAAGGGAACCAGATAAGAAAAACAAACCGATTCTTGTATTTCTGGGAAAATGGTAATACAATTTTTTGGAGAAAAAATGTATGACTAGAAATTAATCTCAATTGGAGAGCTTTAAAAAAAGGCTTTTCTTCTCAATTCTGGAAGACCAAATTTGCATGTTTCTCTAAAATACTGGGACACAGATTTGAAGGCAGTGTAAAGTCCCACAATGTAAATAAGAATTCTATCCTCCGATCAGTCCTCAAGGAGGGCAGTGGCTGGGGGAATTTGGTCCAATGAGAAGCGTCCACTTCACGAGAGTTAGATGCCCTGGAATCTGTGCCAAGCCCACAGACTGCAGAGTTGCCAGATTTTAGGTTCTCTGACATTTAAAAACTAATACTGAAGACTCTGAAATATTATTGTACTTTTAAAATATTTTCTATATAGAGATGAGCCATCTTTTGAAAGAAAGAGACAAACAAAAGATTTATTTTCCAAGCCTATGTGAACAAGTCAATAGGGGCATAGAAAACAGTACTTTTGAAGTTAAGTGAACTGAGTCAGTCCATGTAGAAGAAGAGAGTAAATCAGTATTGCCTGTGGATTAACACGTCCAGTATTTAGCTAAATGCACTGGCTGGACATGAACGAGCATATTCTTATGCTTTTTTAAAAGTATCTAACAATAGCCATTAACATAAACTCAGCTACTTGGCAGTGTAATGGCTCATAAATGCAGCTCAGGGAAAGCTTTCGATAATCTGATGTGCTGGGTTGGTTATCGGACCGGCTGACCTGGAGATCTCGCCCTGAGGAGCGGGGCTCTGGCAAACTGCTCCTGGACAGGACACGGACAATCAGGAACTCACTACTAAAAAGTGAGGTACAGAAAAACAGAAAGAGCTGAAGGCAGCTCTAGTGAATTACCTTGATGCTAGCCAGTGGCAACACCCCCCCCCGCGGGGGGGGGGGCGGGAAGCCATGCATGCATGCATCAGATAACTGGGAAATGGAGGAGTTCAAAGGTGAACGATCTAGCAAAAACTCAGGACACAAAGGAAATTTCAGAAGAAGGAGACAGAAGTTTAAAAGATGAAGAGAAGGCTGGAGCAGGAGGTCAGAATCCTTAGAAAAGGAAGGAGGGCGAAGAACTAGGGAGAGAAACGGATGAGCTGTAATTCACAGTAAGAAAGGCCGACTGACTCTAAGATGGGGTGAAGAAGCTGGCGCCTGCATACAACGTCGTGTAGGTGCCACGCTGGAGAGAGGAGCCTTACAAGGGGCGAGGGGAGGGTCAGGAGACTTGCTTTTACCTTGTTGGTGAGCAGGTGGCATACTTGAGGCACATAATCAATGAGACATCCTCCTCCTGGGAAAGCTGGGATATGAAGAGCTGAGGAGCCTCCAAGCGCACTGAAAGGACAAGAGGACAAGGGACACTTGTCTTAGGGCTCCGACAAGGTAGAAGTGGTACCCTCACAGACTTGGCTTCTCTTACCAAGGTCTGCCCACGAACCGCTTGGAATGATGACAACGGGAATATGGGCTTCACTCTATGATTAGATTTATTTTAATCCACTTTGTTAATTCAGCGTGTTCGTGTTACCGATGAATAACAACGAATGATTCTGTCACACAAGAGTACAAATTAGCACATTCTGATTGGCAGGGGTAAATGTCCTACCGATAGTAATGGCTTGGACCTAGTATGGAAACACACTTTTTTTCATCCCCTTCGTTACGTGCCAGGCAAAGAGAAGTCAGAAGTCATTCCTTAATCCCCTGAACTGAACCAAACTGAGTTGCTGCAGCGCTCCCAACAGTGTACCAGAGGGACCAGTTCTGCCCTCACCAGCTTGGGGGCCCTGGGAAGCCTCCTTGGGCTTTAGCGTCCTCATGTTTAGTGTGAGGCAGGTGGCCTAGGACAGGGGCTACAGACTCCAGGATCTACCCGGCCCAGGTAGGTGATGGAAACGAGCACAGAGAACTGGAGTTTCTGCCCAGTGGAAAGGGCCCTCCACCTCTTGTCTTCAGCTGATCTCTGCCACGTGGGAACACAGGCCCGGTCTTACAGGAGCTCAATTTTTCACGTGAAGCCAGAAATCCAGAATATTTAACGTCTCAAGTTTTAAACGGTGGCAACTAATTAAACACCTTCTGGAACACCATGCCGCCCGGTCCTGTGTCTCTGGACCAATATGGGTGGGAAGTTTGTAACTAGTCCAAGTCAACACTGACATCCAATCCATCTAAACAAGAAGGTACAGTCAAAAATCACCAAACCAAGCACTACGACACAACACCGATCCAGAAATAGTTTCCAGGTCCTGAGCAGTATACAGTTCGTATCTCATTCTTTTAAACTGTCTTTATTTTATTTTTTTAATGTTTATTTATTTTTGAGAGAGAGAGTGAAACAGAGTGCGAGTGGGGCAGGGACAGAGAGAGAGAGATACACACAGAATCCAAGGCAGGCTCCAGGTTCTGAGCTGTGAGTGCAGAGCCCGATGCGGGGATCGAACTCACGAACTGAGATCATGACCTGAGTTGAAATTGGACACTTAACCGACTGAGCCACCCAAGCAGGTGCCTCTCGCAATCATCCAATCTTGGTTTTATCTTCTTTCCTCTCTCAGTTTCCTTTGGTCCTAATTTGTTTTTCTTATTTGAATTTTAGCTTAATGTGTAGGTTTTCTGCTGTAAGCCCCTTGAACCATCTCTGTAATATGATGGGGTGTAAAAAGACCCCTAAGATCTGTTAATGCTGTGATAATTCGTTAACCAAGTCCCCACAGTTACAAGGCAGTAAACGGAAGCAAAGTGCTTCACAATAACAGTCTAGAAAATCATTCCTAAATAGCTTAGAGCAGAAAGACTTAGCCGAGGGTTTGCGATACAGAGAACAATACATAGAACTACTGAAAGGGTTCCAGACCCAGCCTGTCTCCCTATTGACTACAGATTTCTGAAATTAATTTTTCTGGTAGGAATGAATATTTTGTTTATTTATTTATGGAATGAAAACGTCCCAACACACAAATAAAACCCCAGGTGATATGAGGAAGTCAACATCGGGTGGAAATATTTGCTGTTGACTTTTTTCTATTCAGATGATACCTAAAAAGCACAACAACTCTGACAACTGAGAAAATTATGAGACAGCATTTGACTAAGTATGACATTAATGAATCATCTACAGCCTGCAACTGCACAGAATCAGCAAGAACATCATTTCCGTTTGCTACTCTCAGAGCAGACACTGGCTTAGATTTACTCTAAACTCTGAAGAAGGCTAGGAAAATTCCTATGACTTCTTGTGAACTGGAAGAAGGCTTTTTGTCCCCTCTTTTGTATGCAAATGTACACAGAGGGCACACTTCAAACCGGAAGGTTCTACTGGTTCCATTAGAATGGAAACTGATCCAGAAGAAAATTCTGTAGCACGAGTAACAAATCCAATATTTATATCCTGTAGTTACTGGGGGAAATATCTGTGTAACACAGAAAATACCAAGATCCAGCTTCTCATTGCTTAGGGGAACAATCTTTGGCATGATAAAATTCCAAAAAATAATTTGGACAGTTTCCTGGAATTGATTATAGTGGGGTTTGACCTGCATAAAATATTACAGGATAAGTTCTTAATCATTCATTAAATTGAATACAAAAAATGAAAATAGTCTGTGGGTAATCCTCTAAACTTGAGACTCTCTCTGCTTCTGAAATACAGCCATTAAACCAAAATTACCTGTGATGATGGAAAGAAGCAGAGGTGTGGGGAAATCCAAAGGCCGTCTGCTTGGCCGCCGGGCCCGTCTCTCTCCACTCTGCTTCTGTGATCATCGGGAACTAACACTTGTTGCTAGCTGCTTTCTCATGATCGAACTTAATCCTCCCCACAATTCAATGAGGTGACAATGATCAGTGTAATTTTACAGGTGAAGAAACTGAGGCTCAGAGAGCAGAAGAAATTTCCTTGGGTTCATTCACACAGCCAGAAAATGACAAAGTCAAGATCTGAGCTCAGGCCTGCCTACTGCCGGAGTCCAGGCTGTTACTGCTGAATTCCATGCCTCCCTGAGAGCAGGCGGCTTTTACTCTTGAAAGGGCTGCAGGGACGGGAAGAAACAGTGGGTCTGGCTACCAGTGAGTGGGACCAGGATTCCAGGGATGCTGTAGGGCTTCCAGAAGCACCCCGACTACCCCTGAAGCAGGCACTGTGTTGTACAGCCCACCATCTCTCCTGACGTTCCTCCACACAGCAGCTGAGCAAGCATTCCTGTCGATTTTGTTCGTACTTCAGTCTCTCCCACCCCAACCACCAAACAACCAGATTCACTGGATCTCAGGTGCCAGGAGCCAACCTCTCTGCCATGTCTCACTGTGGGTGACCGAGTTGGCTGCACAGGGTGAGCCTCAGTGAGTGAAGTGCTTCCGATACTACGAAGGATTGCTTTAAGTGAGAGTTTATTTTTAAAATGGCACTTACTGCACCCTTTCTTTAACTCGGGAGTTCCTTAGCTTGTGAGCGTACTGAACCTGACTTCCAGCGTCACACACTGATAAGTGCTGCTGATTCATGTATAAATATCCGCCTCGTGGGTAAATATTTAACAGGTTTGCTATAGCCTGAATGCTGCCCTGATCATGCTCAATAAACAAAGTCAAGTGCCATGAAATAAAAAAGCTATTATGTTTTTAAAAGGTGCAAGATGGAGGTAAGGCCTTGTGATCTCTGATTATTTAATATTCATGAATCAAAAACTACTGGGTTGAGCACGTACAACAGAAGGCTCAGCCTGTGCAGATTCCAGGGCTCACGGAGCTCTTCCCGGGAATGCAGGTCTGGCTGGAGAAGGCAGGGCTGGACCGGTTGGCTTGGCGGCGGGAAGGGGCTGAGGACAGGGTGAGAAGGGGGTGGAGGGGACCACTGCTGTTGATTCTTCTGATCTTCAGACCGGTGAGGTGAGGAAGCGGGGTACAAAGTGATGGAAAATCAACTACCGGGGGGGCATCTCAGGTTGAAATTAGGAGGAGAAAGAGGTGAAGAGGCTGTTCTGATGAGAAAATACCATCTATCTCTTTATTGACTGAAATGCGCCATGAAATTAGCTGGTAATTCTTAGAACTGAAACTGAATCTGTGGATACAAATTAGAAGGACAAGACCAGAGTCTGAGAAATCTGTCCAACAATGGAGTTGAACAAACCAAAAGGTAGCCAGAAAAGCATTTCCAGGTCCGTCTCACTGGATGTAAAAGTCAAATACAAGAACTGTCTGTGTTAAATGTATTGATACAATGGTTTTCCGTGCAAATACAGCCAAGAGAGCCCTTTGCGAACCTGGCTCTGTCTGCAAATACTCAGAGCACTTCTAATACTGAAGACTTGACTTGGCTACAGTGCAACAACACAAAGGAAATACTTTTGAGCATTTTGACATGGAAAAATGCAGGGAGTCAGCCTGTCTGAAGGCCTGACTTGGGACAATGGGGTTTGATTTTAACCCATTATGGAACAGTAACTCTTCCTCTCCAGGTGGCGTTTTACCTTACTGGCCCGAGCAAAGCATGACTTGGCACTGGAGAAAGCAAGAAGGGCCAGTGGTCTTCAATTATAATTCTTGCTTCTGCCAAGTTTGTTCTGCTTGGCTCTACTCAATGCTCCCATCAGTGCAGTGGGGTAACACTCCTCCCAAAAAGACCCATCTCTCTCAAGGGAGAAATAACAATCACAATCACGTTAATATTAAAATAGCACCAAGCACTCCAAGAGAGACTTCATTCTAAACCGCCTCCTCTTGGAGCATGCTGTGGTCAAGGGTTATGTCAAGGCCCTTCAGAGACACTTGGCTCAGCGTTATCATCCAGCTTTTGCCTTTGGATGGGATTCCGAGGGAGAGGACATTGCCTCCTCCACAATATGATTCTGGGGAGTGTTGGAGGGTCAAGCACTGACATGGGGAACTTCCAGGATGTCAGACGGACGCAAGCTGCCACTAAGCCCCAAGGCTAAGAGACATCCTAAGGAAAGGTGAGCCTTCAATTCAATTCAACAAACACTAACTGTATGCCTAACTGTGTTTAAGGACTTTAGTTTCCCATTCTGGATATGTGATTAGGGCACCACTGCTAATTCCCTTCACGGTAGAGGGATGCCAGGGAACCTCAAGAATCTGGAGCACTCTATAATGCCAGAGTATGTTTCCTGGTGGCCTGCCAGGAGGGCCATTACAGCAAAAACAGAAGTCACTGGTATTTATTGAGTATCCACTTTTGCCAGGCACCCTACCAGGCACTTCACTATCTCTAAACCTCATAACAACCCGGCCAAGTGGACCTAATGAGTCCAATTTACAGAAGGGGAAACCAAGGGTCTTAGGGTCTAAGTATCTTTCCAAGGTTACCCAGGTGA